TCTTCAAAGCTTCCCTGCTCAGAAGCAGGACCTGCAGGACCTTTGCCAGCGTCCTTGCACCAACACACGGATGGAGTTCTGAACTGGTTTCTCTTCGGTCGTTGCTAGCTTGCTTGCTTTGGTAACGGAAAGACCTCTTAATTGCTGGGCTGTGGGAAGAATGCCGTGTGTGGTCTGTCGAACCAACACGGGGTTTAATTAGTAAGGTTTGTTTGTTCTGTATATTTGCTTTTGGAATAAAAAAAAAAAAGGAGGCTATTCTGTCTTTTGCCATTTTTAGTAACTTCTCCCTGCTGCTGTAGGGGACTTCTGTGCCAATAATAGAAACATGGTCAGTCCCATTAAAATGTAGAAAGCACTTAAGTTTAATTTTTATAAACACATAAAATATTGTGTTCTTGTCCCAATCTAAGCAGTTTTCTTGACTATTTTTCTTACAATGGTGTTGGTCATAGTTGTGGTCCCATTTTTGCTGTTTCCAGACACAAGCAACTCTGGAAACGTTGGCCCGAGCCTTGGAATAGCTGTCTTCAGCTTCTTGACTATTCCCTGCAATGCCCCACGTGAAATAGTGACTTTACAGCCTTTCGCATAGGATGAGCTGATGCCACATGTGAAGCTGTGAGAAATGGAGACATTAGCAACGCAGGTTCTCTCTCTATCATTTTTGGTCCTTTCTTGGCCTCCAGTGGTCCACACATGTGGTGGTTAGGACAACATGTGAACACAGGGAGCTCAAACTGCGCCCTGGAGTTACCTTTGCGTGAAATTCTCCTCACTGAACTTCTCTAAATCTGTAGATGAAAACAGAACTGTGCTTTAACTGTGTTAAAAATCTAAGTGTAACTGGGGAAAAAAGAAAAAGACCGCGGCTGTTTTGGACAGGGATAACACACAGCAATGGAGTTTATTTAGGGTCAGGAATAGTGCTTCTCACCTCTAATTTTGCTGTTTGCAGTGGAGCCCATGTAGGTGTTAGATGAAAGCACCTCTGCTCTCTTGAATGTTTGTTGGTTTAAGTGAAAGAGGATGATCTTCATCCAGTTTCTGAGCGGAGGAGTCTGCTTAGTTAAAAATGCGGGCAACTCAAAGTGTGCCTACCCTCGTTAGTATTCTTAGCAGATCAGTCCGTGCCCAACAGATCACTGAAAGCCGTGCATTGCTTTCCCGGCATGGTCGCTTCTGCTCCAGTATTGCCGGTCTGGCATTTTTCACCATTAGCAGAGGACTCTGGATCTTCAGGAGGTGAAGCAGGATCACGTCAGGATTTGTCACAGCAAAGCGGATGAGTAGGTGTTGATAGCGATCGGCTCCGTTGGGGTCTCTGAAGCACCTGCTATTTGCAACCCCCTTTGTTTGTGCTTTGCCAGCACGAGTGTCCTCTGCTGGGGGAAGGTAGGAGAGGCCGTAAGCCAAGAAGCAGGAGTTTGCTTGGATGGATGCTGGGCTGCAAGCAGTTTTAGAAATGCTTGATGCTGTGCCTTGTGCTAGGAACGGGGAGGGCAGGGGGAACCCATCCATCATGAAAGTGGAAAAAAGTGGCACGTGACAGGAGCATTAATTGCAATCAGCCGTGCCAGTGACCGCGTAGCCCACGGAGGTGGCTTAGAGCTGGATCCTACCAACCCCAGGCTGGGGCATGGGGTGGCAGGGCTGGAGGTAGCTGCTCTGCCTGCCCTGCCTGTTCTGCAGGAGAAACCTTTGTCTGAGGTTTTCCTTGGGACAGCCTTTTCCCTAGCAGGAAACTTGCTGGAGCTAAATGGATGTGGTGCGTTTTGAGAAGTCCTCTGATGGTGCTGGGGGTTTGCAGGTGGATCTGTGAGCTTTGTGTTTAAATGGATCACTGTAATTTTTTGTTTCCATTTTGCTTTGAATAGGAGTCTGTTGTGCCCCAGATAGCCTAGCACCCACTCGCCCCACTCCCAAATGCACAGTCCGTCTTTTGCCTTTGCTGCTTTTATTTGAGCCTGCCCACTCTCCTCTGCGGAGAGCTGTCAGGTGCTGGTTGTAACCTGGGCAGCGAAGGATGCTGAATATCTTTGCGAGGAAGGGCCCAGGTATGCTTGAACCAGCTCTTAGCCAGCGTGGTGGGATTTTAAGGAAGAAGAAATTTCCCAGCAGACTGGTGTACTAGATTAGCAAAGCCTCTTTTCTGGGAGTGTTTTAACTTGAAACAGGTAGAGCAGAGCATAAAAGCTCAGTGTAGGAGACCAGGATGGGCTGTACCTACAGGCTCGAGTTAAGGAACTGGCAGAATTCAGAGACATTAGAAATGGGAAAAGAATAAAGTTTCATCCACTAAACACTCTGCTTGCTGGAAGGGTAAAATTTAATAAGAACAGGAAAGATGTAACTGTTTTATCTAGCTAAGAATGGAGAATGATGGTGAGAAAACTGTGTGTGGACCGAGTATATGAGTGCTTTCAAATCTTTACTGATTCTTCCTATTACAATCCTTAGATTTAGGATTATTTATATACGTATGTGATAGCTAGATATATATGTATGTTTTACTGCTGGCCTGGTCAGCTTCCTGTGCCATCAGGCTTCCTGAGAGATCTGGTCGCCTCTCTGTGGGAATTCGTGGCCTTTAGCATTGCTGCATATGCCTCCAAGTAATAATCCAGATCTCACAAGGCTTAATTTGATTTTAAAAACTGTTTTACCAGAATTGTCATGAAAAAGTCACATTTAACAGTTGTCATGCAGCCCTATTGAAGATTTTGAATTTATTTCCATATTGTAATTACAGGGGGAGAGAAAAACCCCAAGCTAATAACATACTACTTTTTCATTTAAAATTTGATTATGTTCTTCCAAACAGCCTGGCATGGTCTGAATGTGAATTCTTGATGTTTGGGAGTAACAGCACGTTTTATCAGAGACCAGTTGCAAGAACCTGCACGTAAAGGACAAAAAATGCAGCCCTTATGTACACTTGTTGCAGGCAGCTCTGCGTCAGATCTGCCTCTCCCAAGCTCATTTTTCTAATTTTAAGTTAAAAACGGAAAGCAGTGGATGTTCCAGGGGACTTGGGAATTCTCAGAATAATCCTGTAGCCAAGAGTTACTGTTAACCTTTAGATCTATAAACTAGGGACTTCTAAGAGGTATAAATAGTATTGTTGAGACTATTATTGGCATACTGTGCCCAGCACTCCTGACGTACGTTTTTTTAAGGGGTAGAACAACTGGGAGCAGTCTCAGGAGTGATCCAATGTCCAGTAAATCATCTTATGGACGCTTAATTTGCTCATTCTATTAAACTTATTGAAGAGAAAGTTTTTTAAAGAAAAAAAAAAAGTTGATCATAATCCATAAGCATCTACTTGGAGTGAGAATTTCTGATGATACGGGGCTTTTTACTTTAGTTGCAAAAGCATAATGCATTTAATTATTTGACAGTGAGGGCAATTAAGCATTGGAACAACGTATCAAAGGATATGGTAGATTTGTCGTCTTTGAAATCGTTAATCCAAGACTAGATGCCTTTTAAGAAAAGATGTGGCAATTCAGCCATAAGTTATGGGCTTGATGCAGGAATCATTGGCAATTTGATGGCCTCTTTATGCGGGTCATTTTTGATTATCATTACAGCTTCTCTGTCTGCAACCAAGTCCTCGCTTTCTGCCAGCAGCGTGCACATGGCAGAGCCATAATTAGGAGAATCAGCCGCTTCCCCATTTGTTCACAAGGTCACATTACTTGAAAGCAGCGTCTAAGAGTGCCTGTCTGAACCTGGACTTCAAAGAGTGTTTTTATTGCTCGCTGCTTTTTTCCCTTTTCTTTCTTTTGCCTGGATTCCTCTTTCTTTTTTGGTATTTCATCTGTTGCTTCAGAAGTCCCATAAGAAGTATTTTCCTGCAAGTGGAGCAGCACTAAAACATTGCCACCGCAGAGCTTGTAATCTGCTAGCTGTGCTCTTGGTTTTCTGGAGCGTCTCTGCCAAACCTGCCTCCTGCTCGACAGTTGAGTGGACAGATGTGTGGAGAGGTGTGGATGCGGCTAGGCCATCTGTTAAATATGTAAGAGGGTAAATCCAGTGTAAGATGTCAAATCAGAGTGGCAGCATTTACCTGACTGTCTGCTATTGGAGTCATTGCTGCAAAAGGTGCGCTGCTGCGGGACATGGGGCTGTAGGAACCCCGCTTTCATGCCCAAAGGTGCTGGATGAGACTTTGCATTGAGTACAAGCTCAAATCAGAGCGGGTGCGAGCTGCCTTGGGGCCTGGGAGCCTGGCTCCAGTGACAGGGAGCGCAGGAGCAACTACAAAATTCTCTTGAGCCTGATCAGGTTTTCAGCAGGAGCTTGTAGCCTGCCCTGTGTTTGGTGTTGCAACAGCTAGGTCAGCAGTACCTGTGCTCGCTGGTTTAAGGTAAGCTCGGGCAGGTGTTTGCTGCGGCAGTGGCAGCACTGTAGATGAACCTACAATGTCAGGCAAATACCATCTGTGCTCGTGTTTTGTTGTGTGCTAGGCTTGAGGTGGGAGACCACAGCCTTTGCTAAGCCTTGATTGTGCCAAATGCTGTCCAAAAGGAAGGATCCCTTCCCGTTGCTGCCTGCTCTTCCGAAAACGTCTCTGCAAGACTTCTTGTGCGTGCTTGATGTGACAGCCACACTCGGGGCTTGTTTCAGGGAGTAGGTGCATGTGTTGCATTCATTCATCTTCTCCAGAGCCAAGCAAATGCCTGTGTAAATAGTGTCTGATCCTTTTCATTATCTGCAGTTGCCTTGGATCTGCCACTCTGCCTCTGCGAGGTAGCCTTTCACCTTCAAAGGCAACAGCCTTCAACAAGTGAAGGAGCAGCAGGCTGGTGCAGTCTTTAGGCAAAGTAACATTATGTGCTAGAGGAGGGGCTGTGTGCTTTTGCTTTGAATGTGTGGTTCTATCTTCAAATGAAAGTGATAATGTTTGAGAGAAAGGAATTAAATTTATTTTCTTGATTTTTTTATTTTTTTTTAAATGAAGAGGCTCAATTTAACTGCATTTTGTTTTCCAGCATGCAAGTAAAGACCCCAAAGATGGGAGAGACAGCAGAGATCAAAAAGAATCCAAGGAGGAAGGCAACAAAAACGTCCTGGAGTTTGGGAAGCCGTTGCCATTGCCCTCTCTCCCGGGCCTTCACCAGTCACTACCTCAGAACCAGAGCTATGTGGCCACCACGAAGTCGCAGACGGGTAAAGAGGACAGAGTTAAAATTCCTAACAGCACCCACCTCTCAGACATGTGTGTATGTGGTTGAGTGGGAGATGAGGCAGGTTAACAAGGACTGAAACCTCTGTTAGTACCTTTTTCCCCACTGAATCTCCTTCAGGGTTTCCTTTCCTGCTGGCATCAGTAGGGCTGCTGCCATAGACCTTGTTTGACAGATGCCGTTTCATCCAGCCACTTCTCTGCAAGTGGCCGTTGCACTGCAAGCATGATGCTTGTGTCCTCTGGACTCCCTTCTGGTCACCTCTGGGTGTTGTACAGGGTACATCTTGCAGTCCCCTGTTGAAGTAGCCTCCCAAGTGAAGTCCACCAGTTTTTTGCTCTGCAGGGAGCACCTGCCATGCAGTCCTTCCTGCGCGTCCTTGTTTCATGGGGTGCAGGTCCGTCCCAGGCGGCGTGGGCAGGTAGGCATGCTCCGTCAGGCACCACCACACCGAGGATCACTCTTCTGCTAAAAGTTTTTGTTAGAGGAGACACTTTCATCCCGTCTTCCCATGTGATATTCTGAAGATGTTTCTATAAATTCTGAAGGACTTTGTATATCACCGCAACAACCACTTACCATGAACTACAGCCTTATAAATAAAATTAATTGGGTTAACAGAATTTTTTTGAGAGGTCTCTTCATAGATTTTTGGTGAGATTTCATCATAGTGGGAGATGAAGAAATGCTTTCAAGGAACAGGCTGTACAGCTGCAAACGGTAATACTGGTGCCGAAGCTGGCTGTTCCCTGCTGTACGCTATTCTTAAAAGAGCCTGCACTAAGCATCCCTCTGATGTATATTCACTAAAGACAGCATCAGGCAGCGAGGTGTGATGACTGATTTGATTAGAAGGCCAGGAGGGAGACTTAACAAATTAAGACCCGATCAAAGTAGTGAAAGGAATCAAACAAACTTCCATAGTAGGTGTGAAATAAGGTTAAATGGCAAACGGCTCTTTTATTTTAAGGTACCTTTTCCCTGTGTGTTCTTCAGTTACTGTGTGATCGCTTTCATTGTAAGCTGGTATTATTAGCCTTGCAATATCTATTTGAGCAAGTTGGATTCTATTCAGCCTCCTACGGCATCAGCAATACTGCCAAATGCAGGCTAATTTAAGGATTTGATATTGTGTATGGTGATGTAGGGGCCAGAAGGAGTGTGGAGAGGATGCTCAGAATTTGGGTGGGTTTGCAGCACTGGCAGAAAGCTCTTTGTGTGCTTGCACGTATGTGTGTGTCATCTTTTGTTTGACTTGTAAATAAATCAGTTGGAGTGGGAAGCCTTTTTCTCAGATCGTGCCCTCGAATGTGGTTTCCCCCAGTACAGCCTCTACTCTCTATCCCTTCTTCTTTTCATTCCTGAGCAAACTTTGGGGTTTCTTTGCTTCTCTTTTCCAGCTGTTGCAGTATCTCGGAAGAAGAAACGGAGAATGGGAACCTATAGCCTGGTTCCCAAGAAAAAGACCAAAGTGTTAAAACAGAGAACAATGATTGAGATGTTTAAGAGCATAACTCATTCCTCTGCGGGTGCCAAGGTGAGGGGAGCACTGAGCCCACTGGACGTGTTTGTTGTCACCATACACATCCCTCGTCCTGGCACACCGACCCCATGTATAGGTGCAGGAATGCGCTGGCCTGTTGCCGTCAGCATCTTCCATTCTGAGTCTACATCTTCCCTCTGGTGACAGCATCCTGCCCGTAGCAGCCTTGCTGCTTTGAAAATGGCTCTTTGAGGGTGGCTGTTCAGATACCAACTCTTAAACAAATGTTTTCCAGTGAATGTTCCCCTTCTGTCCCGTGAGTCCTGTGGAACTGGAGAGATTGCAAGCATACCCCATGTTGTAACCTTTTTGTTTCAGAGTCCTCAAGGTAACTGTCTAGTGTTGCTGCTTGAGGCTGTACGGCAAAACAACTGGTTACTTAGAAAGCTTTAGACAGGGACTCACTCCTGATCAAATTCTGCTTTTGCTGCAACCCATGCCCTGAAGTTTTGGTCTTTGAAATCAAGGAAAACAGTGCTAGGCTTTCATGGAGTGGAGTGAAAATCCCTCTCTCTCTCTGATTTAACTTCCCTTTCCATTCCCTAGAAACCTTCCTGCACCCTTGGTATGCCATGGTGGAGCTGCCCTTCCACTTTTGAATTAGACTGCAGGGGTTGGTCTGAAGGCTCCTGCCCAGCAGCCCTCCTCCCCTTAATGCCGTGAGTCTGGAATGACTCCTTGTGGCTCCTCGTTCCCCAGGTCAACAGGGTGAGGTGACACATGGCAGGCTCTCAGGCTGGCTTTGCTGGCAGTGTTGCAGAGGTCTGGAGGGACATACAGCCAGCTTTCCTCTGGCAGCTTTAAGGCTCCTAGCACAGAGGTGGTCTGGGATGGATTGAGCTGCTCTGTCCTATGCTCCTAGCCTTAGAGGTGGTCCTAGAGGTGGTCTGGGATGGATTGAGCTGCTCTGTCCTATGAATTGATGTTGTCTTTGTGGCTTGTGTGCTTGGATGACTTTCAGAGTGAAAAGGACCTAGGTGATGCCAGCCCTCATGTGAACGGGGAAAGCATAGATGTAGACTCTGAAGAGGAAGACTCTGACGAGTTGGAAGAGGAGGATGATCACGGAGCAGATCAGGCAGCTGTATTTCCTGCAGATGATAACAGGACCTCTAAAGACAGCGCGTCCGATGCAGACAACACCAGAAAGGTATTCACATGCCCTGTGCAGGACTCGGAGTGGGATGGGACACTGCTTGTACCTGTGGGATAGGAGTGGCACGAGTTGAGGCAATTTCTAGGTTTTCTTAGCCTGCAAGATGGCAGAAAGCACAGGAGTGGAAGTGAGGCTTTTTGATGACCATTTCCTGCTCCCCATTGCACCTGTGAGAGTCTCCCCACCTGCTCCCCAGTTTCAGCCTTGCTACGTAAGTCTGTGGTCCAGCACACATGCAGAACCCTCACCACATTTAGTTATGGGATTCACTGAACCAGTAAGAGATGTCTTCCTGATCTTGGTTGTAACAGGCTGGCAAAGCACTAAAATTGGTTTAGTTAATTTTTTCCCAAATCATGCATAGTGTAGACATGAGGCTGTTTCTGGATGATCACAGAAGTTAAGATTTGGTTAGAAAACTTTCTTCTGGGGTTGGAATTTTTCTTTCCCTGTACCATCCCTATGGATGTACCATGACGTGCATTAACGGCCTTGGCATTCTTGTCCTGGAGAGGAAATTGTGTTAGTGCACCCGCAGGCTGGGGCTGGGTGCTGGGCGCAGCAGGATGATGGGGGGGATGCTCTGCTGGGTGGGGGGCACAGCAGGATGATGGGGGGGATGCTCTGCTTTGAGAGGCCTGACCTGACTGACTCTTTCTGTTCTTGGGCAAATGGTGGCTGCAGATTGATGATGGCGAGTCTGAGGAGGAGCAGGAGTCTGGAGAGTCTGGGGAGGAGGAGGAAGATGGAGATGAGTCTGACTTGGTAAGCCTGGCTGCTAAATGTGTCTTTCAGCCTTTGTCCTGTTGATAATAATTTCCCCTTTGCACTGCTGCCAGAAAGAGAGCGAGCGAAGAGGTGTAGTTTCATGTCTCTTTGACAAAACTCACTCTTTGAAACCACCCACACACAGAGTATTGTTTTCCACAAAGTGCTTAACCCTGATCTGTGATACAATTAATTGCTTTCTGATGCTAATTAATGGGCTTTTGTTTGTTGTTTTCAACAAGGTGTTGACTGCTTTTAATCATTTGAATGTTAGTAGAAATATTTAAGGGTGCTTAAATTCTTCAGATGTAGATTTGGCAAGTGGTAGGATCCAGCAATGTTTTCTTAACAACCTGAAGCTCAGCATGGCTTTTTAGAGCTCAGGTGGAGTTGTTCACAAATCCATTGGCCCAGCCCAGAGCCTAAATTCACATTGATCTGACATGCCACCTCACGGTACCAGATGAGCAGCTCTGATCAGGGAGACATACAAATAGCACTCAGACAGACAGACACTCTCCCTAGGAGGTTGTCTGTATAGTGTTAGGGCAAGACTTTCACCAGCTGCTAGTGATTTTTACTTTTTATTTTTAGATGGCTGGTGAAGAGAACTTGTATTTTTTTTTTTTTTAATTTAAACTGTTGTTCATTGATTGTCTCTGTCCCCCACCCTCCCCTTTACTTAAAAACTTTGCTCCCTTTCCACAGCATCTCAAGTTGAGGAGCCAGCATTTAAGGCACCCCAACTTTTCAGTCACCTTGAGAAAATTCTTGGCTTCATTTTCTTGATGTTTTGAGCTGAAGGTAGAAGTGACTATATCAAGTGAATCTCTGAAGCTCTGTAGAGTCTTGTTCCTTGTGCTCTGACACTACAGGAGCCAGAGAGGACCAAGCAGCAGGGGCTGTGTAGCCTGCCCCTTTCTTTGGGTGGCTGAGGCCAGTCTGTAGCGTTAGCTCAAACCAAGGGTTGAGCTTGCAGTCCAAACTCCCAAGTCGTATCTCCACATCCTAGACGGTGGTTTTTGCTCTGCTCATATCTGATGAGTCAGTCAGTTTCCCAGACATGGACTGGCTTAAATACAAACCTCTCCCCACAAGCAGTGTGATGCAATTGGTGTAAGCCACGTGGCAGGGCACAACCGAGCCCGTGCTCAGGGACAGTTATCAGGGGCAACGTAGACATGCTGTAGAGCAGCCCGAGAGAGCCAGGGCTCAGTGCCACCTTTGCCCGGCTTCGCTCACTCTGATAACAGGGCATGGTGCAGCATTGTCTTCCTCTCAAGGTAGGCCATGAAGGTAGGGCCTGATCCAGCCACAGTTAATGCTAGCAGGAGGTTTTTCATAGGCTTTGGTGGGAGATGGATAAGCATCAGGAGCTGGCAGTTTCAGTTTGAACGTGAATTTTATGATCGGCGCGTTGAAGACTGCCTTACAGGGTTGGGGTGCCCGATTCCCCGTGCCGATGTTGACTTTGAAAACCCACCCCAGACAACTGTATTTTTTTCAACCAAAACCCAAACCCTGTTTAGATTCATGTATGTGTCTGACTATTTGCTTCATGATTAGTCCGTGCTACCCTGTACCTTGCTCAGGGAAGGGGCTGGTCTGCTACTGTAGAGTTCAATTCCCCCAGGTCCATCCCAACCCTGTAAGGCGGCTCTTTAGGTGCAAGGCAGGTTTTTGTTGGCATTTTCTAGCAGGACTGTGGAGCAATGTGAATATTTTAGTTTGAAAAAAAAACCTCAGCTTTTTCTGGGGAGAAGCTAAAAGTGTGCATGTGCCTGCATACTCGCATTGCTGCGCAGAGGTGCTCGGCTACTACTGCGATGAGTGTGGTGTAAGAGCCTACATGGAAGAGAAAGTGAAGCATGCACTATTGAAATGACAGGAAATACACCCACACGTGTGCTTGTGTTTCCTTTTCGGCGCTATAAAGACATCTTAGCACCACTTGATTTCAAACCCCCAGTCCTTAAGGCCTTTTCGCATAACTCAAGCTGAGAGAAGGCTCTTTCTCATGGGCGCAAAGGACTGCTGGGACGCTGATGCCAACATGCCTTACATGCACGTGGCCTCTCTGGTTATTCAGAGCTCCGAGTCCAGCATCAAGAAGAAGCTGCTGAAGAGGAAAGGAAAAACGGACAGTCCATGGCTGAAACCCACCCGCAAGAGGCGACGGAGGAATAAAAAGAAACAAGCCAGTGTGCTAGGTAACTAATTGTGTTTTGTTCCTTAACTACACAGAAATTAGCCTTCCAGGTGGAGGGGTAAGGACCTGAGGCCCATAAGGCAGTGGCTGTCTGCAGGGCTGGCTCTTCCTTTCAAGGATGGGCTGTATGATAAACCAGGGTGTGAACTTGCATCTCACTGGCAGTAACTGCTGGTGTGCACACTTCAACAGCAGAACAAATAGTAGGTGGCTTTATACTTGTCGTGCTGGAGGAATATTTTTTTGTTCATGAACTCCCTTTATTTTAGAGTATCCAAAAAAGACCTCGTGGACTCATGTCCATGTGTACTCATGTCCCATGAGCTCGGGGAGTGTGGTTAGATGCAGAAGGGAAAGGAAGAACCACCCCAGAGTGGTGCTCAGTTGCTTTTGTATGGATGTTTGTCCAGCTGAATGGAATGTGCAGGTTGTCTTTGCTTAATCTGAAAGCACCACAACGTTTGTAATGAGCTACCTCTGGCCCATCTCGTGGTGTGGATGTTGTTCAGGTGGTCATTCTTGTTTGACCTAAGCGACCCAGCACTCAAAAGAAGGTTTCAGTGGCCTTTGTCCTCTGAAGGCTGTGGGATGGGGAGAGCTGGGAGTGCAGGCTGGATCTGATTCTTCTTCTTCAGGAAAGGTAACAAGACAGATAAAAAAAAGTGGATAGTCCCTGGAGTGATGCTGTGCCTTCAGCTTTGTTACTAAGGTTTCACACATCCAATGCCATCAAAGAGTTTGTTCTTCTGTGTTTGCTAATTCTTTGCAAACAGGCCATTTTTTTATCAGCAGATTTGTGGCTGCTTCTGAGCTAAATGACCATGTTTCAGCCTCTGGTCTGTGCCTGGGGTTTGTCAGTCATCTGGCTTGCTCCTCCTCCTCCCAAGGTGGCCCCTTTCTCAAGAAGAAGTGCGGGCCATTGATTCCTTTCAGAGCAAATAGCTAATTCTTCATTTCAGATGCAGACTACTGGTCTTCCACCCCTTCAATAAAGGTGGCAGCCAGTCTTTCAGGCTAATGCAAGTCTCTTGGCCAAGCTCGAGTGGGAGAAGCAAACCAGGAGAGAAAGCGAAGCCAAGTGAGCGCGAAGAGATTGACAGTTCCCACGAAGGCTCCGAGGGGTCCCCATGCAATCTCTTCCCAGTGAGGGATCCCCCACGCAATCTCTTCCCAGCAGCAGCTTTGGTCACTTAGAGCCAGAACTTGGCTTTTATGCTTTTCCCCTCCCGTTAAGCTGAATGCCACCTGTCTTGTCCTCTTTGCAACGTACACGATTAGCTGGTTCGCTCTGCCTGGCCGGAGTGTACCTGGAGCCCTTCGCAGCAGGTCGGAGGCAGGAGGATGCGCTGAGCCCTGGTTTCATCCTTTCCTTGTGCCATTTAAGCTTCTGCTGCCGATGCAGTACGGCAGCAGGCAGATGTGCCTTTCAGAGGCAGAACTTACTTGTCTCTCTTACTATTTTTTTTGTTGTTGTTGTTACCTACCTAAGTGGAAGTGGAAAATCTGTCTGATCAGACAGGGAAGGAAATAAGAGATCAGTCGTGCCATATATGCCCAGATGTTACATTTTCATAATTCTATGTGCATCTGTACTCATGGCCTCTCTGAGGAGCCTGCATACAGCCAGCTCGCTTAAACATGGCCTTTACACCCGCACGTGCTTGCACGCGACTTATTTATTTTACTACTTTTTTTTTTTTTTTTTTTTTTTTTTTTTTTTTTTTTTTTTTTTTTTTTTTTTTTTTTTTTTTTTTTTTTTTTTTTTTTTTTTTTTTTTTTTTTTTTTTTTTTTTTTTTTTTTTTTTTTTTTTTTTTTTTTTTTTTTTTTTTTTTTTTTTTTTTTTTTTTTTTTT